AAACTTCTAAAACGCATCCAAACATAGGCTAGGGATAAAACGAGGAAAACAGAGGCAAGACAAAGCTAAAGAAAACAATGGCAAGACAAATATGCCATGAGATTCGCAAAATTCCTGGTCATGTAGCTAGAAAAGCACTTTTGGCACAATCTTCATCCCTTTGAATGATTGTATTAGCAAGCTCAAAATTTTTATTTCTTAAAGAATCTGCGGTGAAACGGGACCATCGACAGTAATGGAGATAACACAGAACACTAAATTTCAATCAAAAAATCAAGAAAAAAAATAGAAACATTCACAGACCATAATACCTGACTAAAAATGCTTAAGGAAAATGGGCATTATTCGACTAGCATTTTAACACAGGCGAAAAATACAGTTGTTTAGGAAAGCAAAAAAAAGCGGAACAAATTACTGAATTCACCTTCCATAGAGTATAAAACCACAGCGCAAATAAGGAATTTTTACATTTTGATAAGCCGCTACTTCATCGTCATCTCTCTTTGTGCCATTGATGCAACTGGCAACTTCTCCGTTCTTCTCTATTTTGAGTGCCTTAGTAAAATTATTCGCTTTTATAGTAACTGCTAACAATGTGTGGAATTATGTCGGCTAAGATAAAAGAAAATATTATTAAGATAGCAGAAATTTACAACGATAATATTTCTTCAAACTACGAGGAATTTAACGTTTGGATAGCTGAATTTGAAATCTGTCGCTAGTACATGGATGGAAAACATTCTGAAGAAATTTTTACTCCTATCATGTCTGATTCACGAAATCGCTCTCCTACCGAAATTTTTTCAATTTTTGGTTCCTGTCTTGTCTGATTCCTGAAATCGTTTTTCGACCGATTTTTTCGAAGATGCAAAAATGCATTAAAAATTAGCATAAATCATCTGCCTGCTAATACATAGCCACAGATCAGTCTTAATCACACATGTGACAAATCATGATTCCATTGCAGACTAGAACCAATAATTTTACTTTCCTGAACAAGCAAAAAAATGGAAAAAAGCACGAATTTAACCCTGTACTACTACATAGATCTTTTTCATATGCTCGAAGCATTAGCAATATGATTTGTTGCGTTTCTGGGCTCGTCTGTTGCTACGGGATTTTCAAAAGATCCGTACTCCGACTGTCTGGTAGCACCAGGATTTTTCAGCCATTCCGCGCATCTACGAAAAATATCACAACAATCTGAAAATCCCAATTATGAATTCTTCATTTTTTTGGCAAAATACGACAGCTGATAACTGAGGAGTTTATAAGACGGCTCAAAATGTTCTGATAACAGGTGATAACCGTAATAAGAACAAGAAAAGGACTGCCAAGTGAATTTACCTAGTCTGAGCAAATTTTTTGAAGAATATTGAAATCTTGCTTCCGCATCATTCGTTGGGTCCGGATGTTGACCAGCGGCCAAAAATTGCAATAACGATGGCTCCTCAATTTCTTGACTTCGATAACGATCCTGGAAGGAAGTTAATGAAAAACTCGAAAAAAAAAGGAAAAAAATTTTCCAAACTTTCAAAAAACGATTCATAAGAATTCCTTACTAAGCCAAAAACACCACTAATTCTGTTCGCAACACT